GGACTAGGCAAACGATGGCTCTTCTTTCCCCCAGAGGCCACAGCAGTGCATCATATAAGGGACATCATTTTGCTATGCCATTGTATTTAATGGGACTTGACATTTTGTTATCCACAGGGTGTCCTGGAACCAAATCCCAGTGGATAACAAGGAGCCACTGTAATGCCAACCATAAAACATCTACATCAAAACTTTGCCCTTGGTTTAGCAGGTGGTAGAAGGTCTAGAACAGGGGTAGGCAACCTTTTTGAGCCGGGGGCCGGGTTGCTGTCCCTCAGACAATTGACGGGCCGAAGCACCAAAAATAAATAAATAAATAAATAAATAAATAAAAATTAAAATTAAAAAAGAATTTAAAAAATAAAAAAAATGCATGCACACTCTCTCAGCCCCAGAAAAGCCATGGCAAAACCCCTGTGAAGATTTTGCCAAGAAAACCCCAAGAACAAGTAATAACAACAATAATCAATATCATCATGGGGGGGCGGCGGCGGTGGGGGGGCGGCGGCAGCAGGACCGGTTTGGGGCCGGTCCAAAGGCCTTGCTGGGCCGCATCCGGCCCCCGGGCCTTAGGTTGCCTACCCCTGGTCTAGAAGGTGGTAGGGAGCTAGTGAAATGTATGGAAGGAATAAATTTTTGCTGGATTCCTCAGCTGCTGCTGCTGCTCTGGTGGACAGGACTTCATGCCAACCGGCTCTATTAGTCACAGCCTTCTTCAGAAGACCAGTTTCCTCCTTGCTTTTCTTTTAAACTTCATTGCAGGATTCAGTGTAACCGATGAGTGTGCTGCCACTGGCAATAAAACCACCCCAATGGTTGCTATTATGAACCCTTTGCCTTTTATCTCAGTCCCAAATACATGGAGCTATGTTGCTATGGGCAGGAAGCCCCTGCATCAGCTTGTACACAGACTTCTTCCCAGTAACACAAACTCAAAGTACAATATGAGATACCCTGGTGCAGTGGCTCAGAAATGATCAGCTGGCTGCCAGGTGACAAGAGTGACCCTCACAATGTTATTTAAGGCCCTGTTCAGAGAAATGTACTAGCTTGTACATTAAAGTTACTTGCACACCATGATATTGTTGCACATGATCTATGCACTAGGAGAGGGTGTGCTGGAAAAATTTCAGGCCGATGGAGGTTCTGTCCTTCTGTTCTCATCTTGCCTTTGCCATTATTATTATTATTATTATTATTATTATTATTATTATTACCCACCTCTCCCTGCTCATTTTTGCTGAGCATCTCCAAAATAAGCACCAATAAATTGTATATGTGTTCTTATGAGACTAGTTTAATAATTATATAGTATTGTATTTTAACTATGGGTTTATGTGTTTTTTAATTTTGTTTTGTATTTTAATGTGCTGTACACCACCTTGAGCCTTGGGGAGCAGAGGGGAAGGAAAGAAAGAGAAAGAAAGAAAGAAAGAAAGAAAGAAAGAAAGAGTACCCTGCCTTGAGCCTTGAGGAGCAGAGGGAAAGAAACAAGAACAACAACAATTAGGGATCTTTGTGGTAGTACTGGAGAGGTGACACATGGAAACCTGTTGGTCAAAATTTCCAACACTCCTCCTACCCAGGTCTGGAAGCAAAGTTGAAGCAGAACCTCTAAATTAATGCCAAGAAAAGGAACGAACAGATATGACAGGAATTTGGACTTGGTGACCCTTGAGGTCTCTTCCAACTCTATGATTCAATTAGATGCCTTGTTTTTAATTGGTAGACAGAGTAAGTGAATTTAGGGTTGTAGCCTTTATTCCTTCTAACTTCTTGTAAGTACCATTTTCTTTTAGAGGGACCCCAGCTAATACAGTCACTGTATAATTAAAGCAAACTTTTATTATTATACCGTTAGCACACAAGGTGCCCAGGGGACACAAGCGAAAATAGATAAGGATCTGCCCCCAGGAGACTGCAGTCTAGAATTTTGGGGAAAACAACAAAGAAGGAGAAAGGAAGACAAAGGCTAGGAAGAATGTAGAGAAAAACCATTACGCTTACTTCATCCCAAAGGAATTCAAAGAATTTTTATATTACATTCTGTTAGAACAGAATGGTGTATATAGCATTTCCAAAAATCAGAAAAGCTTTCTCTCTCTTTGTTGACATTTTAGTTGCAAACTACATAGAGGTGGTTCAACAGAAATCTTATATTTAGATTCAAAGTATAACAGTAATTATTATAAAGGTGAAAATAAGCAGTAGTTTCATGTAAAGTGCCCTTAACATAATACACTTGTCCCTCCACATTCACTGGAATTAGGGGCACAGGACTCCCATGAATGTGAAAAAATTGCAAATAACAAAAACACTATGTTTTTTACCTGAGAGAACACCTCTCTAGGAATCCTTAGGTCCTCCAGTGCAATTCTGTGGTCAACATCTGCCAAAAATTGCTCTGGAAAAGCTTCCTAGTGGAGTGTTCTCTCTAGGAATTTCTAGTTCCTTCAGTGCGACTTTTGGTTAAAGTTGACCACAGAGTTGTGCTGGAGGACCTAGATATTCCTAGGAAGAACATATTAATAAAAGCCATTAATAATCATATCTGCAAAAGTCAAAGCTGCAAATGTGAAGAGATGGGCGTATTAACAATTAAATTCAACAGCCACTTTGCACTAGCATCATTTATTCATTGTGTGTTGTGTTAAAATACAAGTTTACATGAGCAGGCCTACCATAGAACTACCTTTCCGCAGCGGTGGGATTGCACGCTCCTGTGAAGGAAAAGGCTATGCTAAGGCTATGGTCTCCCATGTCAAGCAAGCTTTTGCTGAGGAACTAAATGTGTCTACAGCTACTGGGCAATAGCAGTTGGGGGTGAGGAGCTTGACACTGGTGGACGATCTCTCAGAGACAATGGCAACGGTGCCATACCTAATGCTTGTTAGTACTCTCTGTCAACAAATATAGAAAATAACAATGACCCACAAATTGGAAACACTCAATATACATTTCAATCCTGAAGAAAGGGGATACCAGAGATTGCAGTAACCAAAGGATAATTGTATTAATTTCCCACAGAAGCAAAGTGATGCTTAAAACTCAGATATAGAGTGAGAAATGCGCGTTCGGCTGCCGCGGCGTGAGGTCTTCCCCGGAGCGCCGGCCGTGCGGAGGGCCGGCGACTCCGAGGGCGACCTCGGGGAGAGGAAGGGGCGCCGAACGTGCGGCTGCCCCTCCTCTTCTGGGCCCGGAAGACGACTCTATTAGTCGTCTGCCGAGGCCCTTAGTTTGAGGAACTACAATTCCCAGAATCTGAGAGGTATAATCCAAATAAAGTGACTTTTCCAAGTTCTGATGGAAACCTTAAAGAACTGCCTTGTAGATGCTATGACTAGCAGGTCACAGAATACAGTATGTGTTGCAAATAATTTTGCAGAGCTTGAACCTGCAAGCATTACCATATTAACCCAGTGCTTCAATAGGCTTGTGGCACAAGAGCTTTTGTGGGAATAGAACTACTGGTCT